TGCCTGCCTCCCCAACAGCTGCTGAGCAACCCAACCTGCTGAGAAACAGCCAGATCCTCACCCCGTCTCCATCCCGCTTCGGCCCAAGGGGTTGGTGTTTCTGCTTCCAAAAACTTCTGCTCTCCATAAACCACAACTTAGTATGGACCACCATCAAGACAGGCAAAGCAACCTAATCTATGAGAGCATTAGGGTGTTGGAAAACAATAATCCGAGAAGGAAACACATTATCTGGCCTTGTTACTTTACAAAGTAATTTAAATTAATTTTTCCCTAGAGTGGTTAGGGAGCACTGCAACTTGCCCTTGTCTATTCTCTCTGGCTAATGAAGCTTCACCAGCGACTGCTCGTGAATTCCTATTAAGACCTCATCTTAGAGGTTACAGGGCAGAGCAATTTCTGCTCCTGGGAAAGATGCCTATGAATTTGTAATTGTAAGTCCGTGTTTGATAGGGATTAGCATCTGAAAGGGGTAGAGTGGTGGGTAGCAGAGAAAACATTATTTCAATTAGCAGAAGAAAAGCAACTTAACATCTGATTATAGTTTACACTTTGAATTTTCTCCTATTCTGGCATCTGGGATAATTATTTCCTGAAACTATCCACCCCCACCAAGCCATCCAACTCTTTCCTTCTCCTCCTCTTGGCCATCGTGGTTGAGATTCACATGAAAATGGTTGATGAGCCAGGATTTTTCCTTTCCTTTCTTCTCCCAGGTAATAGCCAGGCTCACCAAATTTGGGGATGGAGGGGAGGATGCTGTACCAAATGAGACGTGATGTTCTCTTTGCACCTAGGAGTTCCAGGATGAGGACAATGGAGCTTTGCTTCACAGCCAGGCTCATGGTCAGGCTTGTGGCCAGCAGCTCAGCATGGTGCTGGTGCCCAGCTCTCCCAGGCAGAGCCCTGATGCATAAAGCTTTGCTCTGCATTTGGAAATTACCTTCGATCACCCTGTTGTCTCCCGCTCCGTGAGACAGGTTGCCGTTTGCTCCGCAGGGTCTTGGCCCTTGTGCTAACCTACGTTCCAGCTATTTTTTTCTGGCTGCTTGGCCTCCTGTTTCCTAAAGACGATATAATCAGTTTTCGGATGGGAGATTCCTCGTGAGAAGGCTTGTTGTTATTTAAGGAAGATCATGAAATCCATCCTTAGTGAAAGGATAGGAGAAAACCCTTCCACCAAGTTAACACTGAAGCCTGAGATTATCATTTTTATGGGCTTCCAATCTTTCCTGCCTTATGTCTTATCAGTGAATGCAGCTGGAGGCTTCAAAAACCCTCCCAGCTTGCTGCTGATTTTATGGGACAAAGATTAGAGATGATCGGATAGTAAATTATTCATTCTGTTCGATATCACTGGGCAGGAGGGAATATCCAGAGAGAAGTCAGCTCCCTTCTCCCTTTCTGAGCATCACATAGCGGGATCCCAGCTATCTGCCACTCCAGCAATGCAGCGGCACTTTTGCCTGTGCTCAGAGATGATTAGGGGTGCAAATGCCCTCTGAACAGGAGGGAAAGCCGAGGGGGAATCACGGATGCAGGCTTGTTCCCCAGCAATAAGGCAGCCTGGAGGCAGGGGGATTTTCTTCTAATTTCAAGGATTTTTAGTTTTATTTTTCCCAGCCCAGGGCAAGGTTGGAGCCTTTTCCTGCTGCTGTTTGTCCACACAGGCACCCTGGGTCAAGAAAATGCCCTTTTTATAGCAGCTGCAGCTCCTGGCTCTCCCCTGGCAGTGTCCATCCCAGGATGGATTTGAAAGCCAGCATTGATGGGAAATGAGAGAATTCTGGGGCAAGCAAGAAATAACTGGTTTTGGTAGAAAATGTTAAAAGAAACAAGCATTCAAAAATTTGGTTTGTGTTTTTTTTTTTTTTTAATTTTCTTTTTGGAGCAGCTATTGAAATGCAACAAATTCATCATTACTTTATTTTTTCTAGGAAAAAACCAATCTCTTCCTTAGGTGCTGTTCAGGCTTGGTCTCATCTATTTTCTTTATTTTTATGACTCTTTCTGAGAAAGGGGGAGGAGATGGAGAGGATGAAGGACAGAAGGAAGGAGGGAGGAAGGAAGGAAGTGAAGGAGAAAGAAAAATAACTTCCATAAAAACACAACTTCCATAAAAACACAGAGCCCCACAATGTTTTACGAAGAGGAACTGGCATTTGCTCTGAGCCATATCATCCAGGAACACATTTTAGGCTCTGGAATGTTCCCTTGAGCAGAAATGAATTTTGTCTAAAAAAGACATGTTTCTGGGGGCTGGAAAAAAAACCAAAACACCAAACAACCAATTTTTGGAGGATATCAGAGTAAATCCTGGAATCCCAAGACCTGCTTTGTGTGACCTGTTGTACAGGCGATTGCTCGCATGAGTCCCTGGGACACAACTGAGCTGGCTCCGGCTCCAGCTGGGTTTGACTAACTGCTGCTAAGGTGACCTGCCCCTTCTGTGCCTCAGTTTCCCTCACTTGTAAAATGGACCTGTAGGGTTTTGCCTTACCATGGCTGGACAATGCTGAAGCCATCAATGCGAGAGACAGCAGAATTTCCATCATGCTGCAGCAAAAGCACAGTTTCTCACCTCTTCAGGTTCTAAACCAAGGCCAGAATGACAAACAGATGAGCCGGATGGCTAATTATTTGCAGATATTTCTGACTTTGCCCTTGAAACAAGGCTGCTGCCGTTACAGTGACTTGTTATTTCTCATCCCCCCAGGCTGGACCCAGCGATATGCAACCAGGCAGGTGCCATGGGTGCTTTCGGCTACAAGAGCACATACCTTCCTAATAGCTGGGAGCTAAAGGAGGTGCATTGGAGCCCAGGGGAGCTTTGAGATAAGCAGATGAGAGATTCCCTGGCCTCAACAGCAAGCCTGAATAATTATATAAATAAACTTCCTTAAATTTCTTATGAATGTGCAATGGGAAAATGTTAATGCTCCTCAGGAGGGAGCTGACAGCCAGATCCCTGTCCTGTCCCCAGAACACACCATAGGGTATGGGTGGATCCTTGAGACATCCCTGTCATTGGAAAATCAGCCCAGTGCCCCTAGAGCTGGGCTGGGCAGAGCCCTAAAAAACCCTGGAGTACGTGGGGAGGAGGCCCAGGAGAAACCCGTGAGCAACCTGCCACAGCCCCAGGTGCAGCCGGGGGGTGGACAGCAATGGCAGAGAGATGTCTCAGACCTTGAATTTTCCAAAGGCAGCAGCAGGACTGGCTTCTGTAGAACTTCTGATCTGCTGATAAAGCCTCCTGCTCTAAATGGCTTTTTTTTTTTTTTTTTTTTTTTTTTTTTTTTTTTTTTGGGTTTTTTTAAAAAACAAACAAAAAAACGGGGAGACAAGCAACAAGCAGGCAGCAAAGATCGCAAGCTTTGCGTGTTTTCCCAGATAGATAATGTGGATGTAAGTCATGGGGAACCCAAAGTTCACTCTCATTTTCTTTTCTTCGCAAGCCATTAATTTTTCTCAGGAACAGGATTAAATTGCTTTTACAAGGGCCTTATTATGGGCAGGTCTCTGTCATGCCATTTTCTTGCTGAGTGCAGCAGGAGAGTCCCTGCCCCAAGGAGTTTGTATGCAAAAGCAGGCAGGGTTTTGGGAATGGGATTATCCCACATTGCAGGTGGAGATTTGGCCGTAGAAAGGAATTTGGGGGAGAAACCCAGGAACTGGCCTTCAGTCTTGTACAGCTCAAACCAGCTCTGTCTTGTTTTGGGGATAAATTACATTAT